GCTTTTCTATAGAACTATAGCTCCAACTATCCACTAGCAAATATCGAAAACCGCAGATCGCTATCTGCTTCTGTTTGTGAGCTATTCAAGTTGCCGTAATTCGCTTTCTATTCTGAAATGGATAGTAGTCGTAATATTACAAAAGCTATAAAGTAGTATATGTATGGGCGATTACATCTTTAAAAGAACTCGTGATAATGGCCAAAGCAGTAGGCACCTTTTGGAATTTTAATACGTTTTGGCTAATGAACGGTTTCTACTCATCTTTGATTGGATTCTACAAAACGGCCAACTTCGTTAGATTTTTCTAGTACCGTTCATAGTATTTCAATCTTTCTCACTTTCAGATTCTTTGAGCGGTATAGAAATTCTTTCATAAATTGAGGTTGAACGGGAAAGCAGATAAGATGGTTTCTGGGTCCCCGTTTGATCTGCACTCTGCTCCTTAACTTACCATCAGTATTTTCGCTTGGTTTATCAATTGTTACAGCTTTATATATGAGATCATACAATTCAATAGCGAGAATAGCAAATACCATGGCGGCAAATTTACGTTTAATTTTACCGAAATAGTCGAACGGTACTGGCGGTGCTAGATGTCCATGACATGCATTTTTCTTCAATGAATTTCGCTTCAGTAATAATGCAAATAAGATAATTAGAGCACATGCAGCAGGAAAGGTTAACATATTAAATTCTCTCAAATCAATAATTGAGCAAATTCGATTTGGTTCATAGTACAGTGATTCATTTCTTGAATATTTTCCAGCTATTTCATTGTGAATCGGCTTTATTAATAGATAACGGATTAGTAGTGTAACGCCTGCGAGAGGAAACATGGTGAGGCCGACGATGATAGACGAACTATGGCAGCTTTTTTTCGATTGGCCAATAACCACAGAACGAATCGAAGGCAGAATCTCTTTCTCTCTTAAGAAAAATATGAAAAATGGCAAGGGCACGATCGATTAGACATGCACTGGTTACAATCAAAACCGATCACAGCCGGTCCTGGTTTCGTTTCAATGAAGATACTGTTGCTAATGGTGCTGTCAAAAGCTTCTATCTCCCACAGATAAGTGTTGGTTTCTAACGACCGAGTATAACAGAAATTTTCTGGATTCACTGTACGATGATAGACTATTCTCAACACGGTAGTCATGTTTAAACCCCTTTCACACGTATTTTTCAAAATTGAACAAAACTGAAGAGCTCTTCGCTGTTACAAAAACAGATATTCGTGGATTTTCTAGAAAACTAGCTAGAAAATTTCTCTGTTCTGACACAAACGTCGACTTTACTATGTTCTCACATGAACCCTCTGATGAATTTTATTCTTAAGAATATCACATTCAGAAATTCTGGAATGCTTTTGGACAAGTTTTTATTTGGCTTTTACAAATATCTGAATTTTTCGTTCCCCTGGAAAAGTGCCCTTTTTTCTCGTGAAGTCCCGTTGATGAGATAATGTTTTCAGGCAGAAAACTGAACTTTTATGTGATTTTTATTCAAAATTTTCAAGTGTAATAGTTAGTAAAACTCATTTTTCTTCATGATTCTGAGATTCTATTGCAAATAAAAATCACTCACTTTTCCTGATCAGACTTTTACAACATCCGACTTTAGGAACGTAAAACCTGTTTTAATCAAAATTTTAATTTGTTTTTCATGAAAGATCATTAATAAAATCCCGAAAATAGCCTAATTCTTAAGCTCTATCGACTAATATCTAATTCAGACTTTTCATAAAAGGAATTTAGGAAACGACAGAAAAATCAACTTTATGGTGAAGCCTCGAAAAAAAGCCGCTTCATAAAGAACTGATGGTTGAGGAAGTTTCTGAGGTCTAAGCGTTCGGGTTTGAAATTAACTCTGTATGCTCTTTTTCCAACAGGCATACTTAGAAAAGAATTCTGTTCGTTACGGAAAACAATATTTTTGATTTTTCTCGATAAGACCCCACGCCTGTCAAAAATGACGATTTTCATCAGAAAATTCTCTTTTGAGAATAGTACATCGAAAGAAGGCCGCAAGTGTCCTCGTTTGAATGCATTAATTTTGATTGGATAGATCACATATTTTAGTAGTTCACAAAGGTTTCTGAAAACTATGTGAAAATGTATATAGCATGGTTTATATGTTAAGCCGGGCCCCTCCTCGTTCGGTCAGAAATATATCTCGGTAATCACAAGTCTGATTTGAGCGAAAATTTTGGGGAATGTTGGGCATGTTGAGGAATAGTCCCTGCATAAGTTTGGTGGCTTCGTCTGTCATGGTTTAGGAAATGTCGCTCGAATATGGGTCAAATGGGGCACCTACCGTCAGGTAGATTTCTCCTCTCAGAAAACACCTGGAGAACTAGAGTTGGTTTTAAAATATAAAATGCAACATACGTTACAAATCAGTAGAGACGTAGCTTTTAGAGGAAAAAAGTATTTTGCGTTCTTCCCAAAACTGTTTTTTCGCTCGAGCAAGAGCACGGATTACCAGATTTCGCCGTAATGGGAAGTCAAAATAACTTTTATTTTTTTTAAATTGGAGGTAATACTTACCGCTCTGACGTAATGGAGTCCCGTTTTCTGTTTCCAGAAAAGAGTTCTGGGAGTTTTCAGGCTTTTATCTATGTAAAACAGTTTTTTCAAGAAAACGAAGAAAAATTTCAATAAAACGGCTCTGTTACGTCATTCTTATATCAATTTCCAATAATTTAGAACCAGCCCAAGCTCTCTAATTGCCAGCTCAGAAGAGAAATCTGATAGTTCTCCAGTGCCTTATTTTGACTACTGCCTTAGCGAAATCTCCTAAACGGTTGCAGATGAAGTCTTTAATTCTCTACCGTAACTAATCCTTAACATGACCAACATTTTCTGTAGGTTTCGTTCAGATCGGAAGTGTAGTTTCCGAAATCGCTTTTTGACACGGGAGTCTTAAGATAAATATTTTTGAACAACATCGAGGGAGTTGTTTTTCTATACGGAAATTAGTTCTCTACATCTTTGTTTCAGTGATGACCGAAACCGATATCAGTCGAGACTGCTTTTGTCTAGTCGCGGCAATAGTGGATCGATTTTGGCTGGTACGAATGCGTATGATGGACAGAAGGAAGATACTAACTTTTCATTCTTTTCAATCTGTTCACCATTTTGTTTTCGTTTTCTGGGTACCAATGCTGCTATCTTAAATCCGTAGAAGATAAGCAACAGTAAACCAAGTAGAGCACCAATAACAATCACCTGGTGACCTTCGCTTGAGACTATATCGACGACAATTAGATAGAAAGTTTTCATCTCATTTCACTACTCACTTTTGTCACATAAAGTTCCACGATACCAAAATTTACAATCACAGTTGATAGCAGTATCTCCAGAATCAAGTATTTCTTCTTCACAATAACCATGTACGCATGGATCATACACAGAACAGTCTTTACAAAAATGCAGATAAAAAGTGATTCTGGTGTCTTTGCTTTCAAAAGTAGGCCCAAATACTCATTTTACAATCATTTTTTAACAGAATGCACGTGACTATTTTCTCGCCAAGGTCACACTCAGCATAGTCAAAAACCATAAGTAATCAAATTTATTTTTTGAGAAAGGACAATGGCAGTTTCGTAATGCATGATCAGGAAGCAACTAATAGTAAGAAAAAAAGTCTATAATTCATTTTTGACAAAAATGCGTCTAACTATTTTTGGAATAACTTTCGAACAAAGTGCTTCTGTTTCAGAAGTTTTCTGCAAATCCGATACAAAGCCTTCCATTTTTCAGTTGTTGAATAGTTCAGCATTAGAAACCGAGTCCATCCTCAGTCTTTTGAGTGCTGTAGAACGGTTTTTGAATTTTCTGGTGAAGACCACAAGCAATCAATATTTTCCGTAAAATTAAGATTTAACTAGATTTTTGAATATTTCTATCAAAACATAGCCATCAACCATACTGAATTATGCGTATGCTTTGACATAACTTTCGAGGTTACCAGTAGTCACCAGATTTGAAAGAAAATTAAAAATTTATGGTATTCGACTATGCTGAGTTTAACGTCTGTGTAATTTTTTCTCTAGAGGTCCAACTGAATATTTCATTAGAGAAAAACCAAACGCTTTTTCAACCGAAATGATCAAAATCGGTTGAAACACAAACAAGCTCTCGTCTTTCAAAAATCTGATGTTAAGACGAGCTCAAAGTTGATATTGTCGATAAACTGCCGCACTTAAGACAAAAATGTCAACGAAATAGGTCTCTCTTGAAACCACAGATAATCGATGTGCCACATTTTTCTGGTTTTGCAGCGTATTCAAGATCAGGCATGCACCACTTATGAGTAGTTTCAATTTTTTGCTCTTCGTTGAGCGATTATAGGAGAAATAAAAACGAGGAAGAGTTCCTCTAAACTCATCTGGTAGAAAAATGCTTGCTCTGTAAAACAGGTACCAAAAGAATTTAAATGTGTATCATTGTCTCGCAGTCTTTTTGGTAAAAACATGAAATAAACCGGTTATAACAGATGTATGCCTAATCGAGACAGCAGAGTACATATAGTTCGAAAACAAAAATAACCTGCTTACTGTTTCTTTTATTACTAGACCTTTCCTTGTTGAACAGAAGACAGAAAACTGTTTTTTCGAGAAAAGGAAATGGAGAAGGAAATGGTTGACTATTAGAATAGTGAAAAAAAGAGGATATTTTTATCAAAATCTTAGCAGTGATTTGACGCCTATCAAGTTACACGAGTGCTGACGACATTAGCCATGTGTTTTTTATTGACATCTATATATCTCAGCTACTGTCGAGTAATCGTGCATGGTAGGCATCATGATTGGGGGTGGACCGTTACCGATAGCGAGTGACGGTGACGGTTTGACTGTAAAAATTTTGACCTGGTACGTGGACATGTAACCCGTTACTAGTAAAAGTAACGCTTCAGGCGTTACCTTTACTAGTAATGGTAACGCAAAACCGTTACCATTACCGGAGTAACGGTAACGAGTAACAGTCCACCCCCTAATCATGATAATAACAATAGTAATTTCAAAAAGTTTAGTCATTTGGTCAAGACTGAAGAGGTTGGATTTTTTTACGAATGGTTCGATCAAGTTTTTCAAATTTTCTATCATGGCCAAGCAGTTCCCCATAAAACCTGTACAATTTTGACCTAGTTCTCAGACTAATTCATTTACAACGTCATCCTTTTACTCACACGTACCCTTATCTACACTCACCTAATACTCTACACCTGCTTACTTTAACAAGATAATCGTCCGACTTTTCGTTACCCATAAGAAAATAACTTTCACTAAACTTTTTTCAAAATACATAAAATTCAGAACGTTAACAATATCTCCCAACTTGTGCTATAGCTTACAGTACGAGAATATGACTCATGGAACTTGGATAATCATCTTTTTTACGTTACATTCACTCTGGGGAGGAGACTGAAGAGTTCAAAAGCGCTAAAACCTAATTGCTACAAAGTGGTACATGGGTGCAGTGTGCTCTCAAGTTCGAGCTACTTAGGGCTATCCAAAAGTAGTGAGGAAGGTACTATTTTTTCTTATAGAAAGCTTGAAAATATTTTCTATTTTTATGAACAGATAGAGCGTCTTTCGCTCTATTTTTCTATGCTATTTGATCACTATTCAACATAATAATAAAATTTCGATAAGATCTATTTCTTTCCCATATGTGCTGGTAGCATGAATGCTCGTAAGTACGTTTTGAATAACGTTTGATAGCAACAAGATAGAGACCTGCGATTTTCACCATTGCAAAGAGGAGATGAAGGCGCATCGAACTGTAGATTACTGATTTTTCTAATATGATTTCTGAAGTGTTTTTATTCA